TCAAAAAATGACAGCTACACTTTGTATATAAATAAATAAAATGACAGCTCAATTTAACAACAAAAAAACACACGAAAAAAGTCATAAACGTCAAAAAATGACAGCCACACTTTGTATATAAATAAATAAAATGACAGCTCAATTTAACAACAANNNAAAAAAATGGATAACATCGCGCTGTATATAAATAATTTAAATATAGTAATACAGTAATGTAAATATAATTGGTTGTGTCCGTGTGCTATTGATTTACGACCTCCCGGTTATTGTTTTACAAGCGGCTTTTACGGCCCTCCGACGGCCACTAATTTCACACCTCCGGCCGCCGTTTTCATTCTAGGAAGCCGTGATTTTTATTTTTGATTTTGTTTTCCTCTTTTATACCAGTGTTTTTTGTTTGTTTGTTTTTTTATTTTCGTTGGTAATGCTTCCGATCGACGCGACACGTTTTTCCGGTTTTCCAATTACACCCAACACTCGCATTACTAATTAAAATTTAATTCGCGTAACCGACGTCGATGAGATTTTATTTTTTTTCTTCGTTTTACCGTCTTTTCGTCGCCTTCGAATTTCATCTCGACTCTCTTAAACAGATTTGCAATTACTCAATGTTATTGCTCTCCGTTTACGACACAGACGTGACAGTTTACTTTTTATTTGCAAGTTCACTTGAAAATCTTAAACTTGCCACATTTCTTACTGTCAACTTATACAAAAAAAAACCTTCTGATTTTCATAAATTCTGAATTATTTAATTAAAACTTTATCAATGTTTTTTTTCTTTTCTTTAATGCTATTATTATAGCAATTAATTGTGTAATGCTAATTTCAATTGAATAGATTGAAATATTGTTAAATTTGATATAATTAATAGGTGATTAAAGTATCAAAATCGCATGATCATAAATATAGAAAGAGAGTTTCCAGCATCACGTATAAAATGATCCAATAAAAATTTGAAAACCGTATAAAGTGACGGAGGGGGCTTTGAGAACACGACCACCGCCACTGTTTCCATGGCAACCGGGTGGCGGATGCTGGAAGCGCTGCGCTTTAGGTACCGGATGCACCTCGAGAGGGTTTTTACCGGATCGCAGCCGGCTTTTGACCACACCGATGTTACAACAACAACAACAACAAAAAAAAGGACATTCCTGAACCCGGCGCATCCACACGACATCTCTCGCACAAACACAGAAAGAGAATGGAATGCGTACATGTGTATATATTTAATCCCATTATTCCGACGCGGTCTATTCTCGGTTTTTCCTCCTTCTATTTTCAATAGACTTAACCCCGTTCTAAGCCTGCTTAACTTAACTCTATTTTCGGAGATCGGAACGGTGATTAATAGGGAAACACTCTGGAATTTATCGCTGCTTTATTCAAGGAGAATTAGTTTTGATTTGATTGCGACATCATTCGGCGCGCAGCTCGAACTGCTTGCAGAGAAGCGGAATGTCTTTCTTGTAGTAGATGACTTCGAGAAGGTAATGACCCTTGTTCGATGGTTTAAAGATCATCTCGTTCGCGGCTACGGCGAAACCATCAACTTTATACTTTCCCTTTTTGAAGAAAAGAAAAATTAATTGGATTTAAGTTTTTCTTGTATAAATTCACCTTAGGTATCGGACAAGTTGCTTTTACGCCCATCTTCTTAGCCAATTTCTCCCAAATTTCCGGAAAGTACAAATCGATTGCATCGCAGAAGTTTCCGCTCATCTTCATATTATCTTTAATCCATTTGTTTCCTTAGTACTTGCTGCCAGTCAAAGAATACTAAAAAAGAAAAACAAATTTGTTAATCTGCGCATGTCGATCTGCGCAGTTTGGTTTTTCGATAAAAGTTTCGTAACAATGTACGAAAATTACATAATAATTCATTCGTTTTGGTCATCTGCTGTGCATTTATTAAGGAAATAAGTATTTTCTAAACAGATACAATCATTTACTGAAACAGTTTTACTAAATTAGGCAAGATTAAAGAGCCCCACGTTGGGTTCCAAAAGTAACAGTAAAACAAATTTGTTAATCTGCGCATGTCGATCTGCGCAGTTTGGTTTTTCGATAAAAATTTCGTAACAATGTACGAAAATTACATAATAATTCATTCGTTTTGGTCATCTGCTGTGCATTTATTAAGGAAATAAGTATTTTCTAAACAGATACAATCATTTACTGAAACAGTTTTACTAAATTAGGCAAGATTAAAGAGCCCCACGTTGGGTTCCAAAAGTAACAGTAAAACAAATTTGTTAATCTGCGCATGTCGATCTGCGCAGTTTGTACGTTTGGTTTGACTATTACCTCGATCGTGTCGTCCACGTCGAAAGGCAACGTCGCTTCTATATTGGCAGCGTTGTGGTCTATATCCAAATCGACTTTCAGGCCTTCGTTCTGCTCGTTTTTTGGAACATCGCAATTGTATATTCCCACCACGGTTACACCCTGGAAAAGATTAATTATTAGCCAAAATCCACTCGATCCATCCACCTACCGTGCAGCGAACATATCCAACGCTGAAAATGAATAATAGAATCGCTTTCACAAACATATTCGCACCGAATCCGTTCCTTTCAAACTCCGCAACGTCATTTTATACCAAAGCGAACAAAGCAACAACGAAACCCATCCGAGCGTAAATAAAAATCACTTGTTAACGTTGTAGTTTTTTTTTTTTCATCATTAATTTATTTACACTTTAATAAATTGCTCGATGAAAAAAATAAAAAATTGTGCGAATTACTAATCACTTCTTCTGCTAATTGGCTTTTTTGCAGTTCGCGCGGCGGGGCTAATTACCATTCAGCCGGGTTTTCGAAATCGCGGCAATAAATAAAAAAAATTATTTAATTGAATTCCGCTCGATTTAATTACCCGAAGGGCGGCGAATGCGGGAAAAAAAAAATTAGTAAAATGAAATGAAATGCTATATTGTTGCATAAATAAATTGAATTTTCAACGCGGCGGAATAAACACGCCGAACACGCACGCAGATACATTATTAAATCCGTAATGTAATTACGGAGGCACGTTTTCATTTTCCAACCGGACGAGACGGAAGAATCGAAATAAAAATACTAGTTTTTCGATAAAAAATTTCGTAACAATGTACGAAAAGTACATAATAATTCATTCGTTTTGGTTATCTGCTGTGCATTTATTAAGGAAATAAGTACTGAAAGATTTTCACTGAATTAGGCAAAATTAAAGAGTCCCACGTTGGGCTCCAAAAGTAAGACGATCAAATTTCCGAGTTAATTTTGACATTTGAAATGTCAATAATATAAGCAAATGATTAATACCAACTTCGATGAAATTAATATTTTATTTTTTAAAGTTGGTAGTTAAATAATTGATTATAATTATATAATATATATATAAATTGCTGATTTAATTGTTGCTTTTGATAATCTAGCGTGTTGAAAATTGTTAATTCAGCGAAGAAGACATAACAGGAAGAAGTATTCTGTTCCATCCAATGCCATTCGTTGCATAATAAGAGTGAGCCGATTATATATAAATATATAAATAAACTTTGTTTTCAAGTTTCTATGGTGATATAGTCGTAATGGAATCGTCATTGTTGTTGTTGTTAACGTTGTTTGGTTACGCAAACGCCGTTCCAGGCTCCGATGTAAAACAATAGAAATGGTAACCAATCAAAATTCGATCAACAACTTTTGTTCTCAGATTGGACCAATAGGAAAGATCGACCTTCTTCGCGTCGATCCGTGTCCGGTGAAGAACAACTTGAAGGAGAAACCAACGATGTTGGTAAACTTTTCGCCGAAGAGTAAACTGATGAACGGAAACTTATCTCTACCGTTCCCATTGGATAACACCATAACTGTGAGATTGGAAATTTGGTTGTAACTGTTTCAAATTTAACGTTTCTTCAGACGCGCACCTATTTGCACCAATGGACGGGAAGCGAGTGGAAGAAGAAGGTCCAGAAGTGGGAGAACGGTAAAGTTTGCGATTACGTCAACCAGTACATCCAGAAGCTTTACAAGATATTCGTGGATGCTCTGGAGCCGAAGATTAAGTCGAAGACGTGCGGCATCAAAAAAGTTTGATCATCTTCTTGTACATTCACGCAATTTTAATTTGTGTTTATTTATTTATTTACAGGGAAACTACAAATTGGTGAATTTGCAAACAACTGCTAAACAGTTGGGAATTCCGTCCATCTATTACGGTCGTTTGAAGATGGAGATTCACGTTTTTAAAGGAAAAGATGAGATCTTCTGCATCGAAGGCGAAGCAGATTCCAAGAGAAATTGAACACCAATTAACAACATGATAATGATTTGATTTACATCAATAAAATATGCAAAGTAATAACGATTTCTTTCATCTCAGCCTGTTTTTCATTGATCTAATATAGTTTGAGTGATTAGTGACGTAATAAAAATATAATATTATATAAAAAAAAGGTTTAATATGTAACATGTCAAAATATTGCTTATAGGCAACTCTATATGCATATAAGAATAAGTAATCCAAATGTCAATTATACTATTTATCGTCAGATTCCTAATTTCTTATACAATTAGTGTATTTCGAACGTTTACAAGAGAAATCATTGAAATTTGAACGTGTGTCACGTCAGTTCCATTATATCAAAATAGATGGCGTATTGAAATGGAAGTTTTGGCGACACTGAGGCCAATTCAAATTTTGCAGTAGAATTATCTTAACGAGATGCGCGCCGATTTGATGGAAACAGGGAAATGCCTGCGTTGTTAAAGATTATATAACATGTCAAAATATTTCTTATAGGCAATTATATATGCATATAAGAATAAGTAATCCAAATGTCAATTATACTATTTATCGTCAGATTCCTAATTGCTTATACAATTAGAGTATTTCGAACGTTTGCAAGAGAAATCATTGAAATTTGAACGTGTGTCACGTCAGTTCCATTATATCAAAATAGATGGCGTATTGAAATGGAAGTGGTTGGAGGTGTTGGCGGCACTGAAGCCAATTCAAAGCTTGCACTAGAATTATCTTAACGAGATGCGCGCCGATTCGATGGAAACTGAGGGAAATGCCTGTGTTGTTAAAGATTATATAACATGTCAAAATATTGTTTATAGGCAACTTTATATGCATATAAGAATAAGTAATCCAAATGTCAATTATATTATTTATCGTCAGATTCCTAATTTCTTATAGAATTAGAATATTTCGAACGTTTACAAAAGAAATCATTGAATTTTGAACGTATGTCACGTCAGTTCCATTATATCAAAATAGATGGCGTATTGAAATGGAAGTGTTGGCGACACTGAGGCCAATTCAAATCTTGCACTAGAATTATCTTAACGAGATGCGCGCCGATTCGATGGAAACTGAGGGAAATGCCTGTGTTTTTAAAGATTATATAAAATGTCAAAATATTGCTTATAGGCAACTCTATATGCATATAAAAATAAATAATCCAAATGTCAATTATACTATTTATCGTCAAATTCCTAATTGCTTATACAATTATAGTATTTCGAACGTTTACAAAAGAAATCATTGAAATCATTGAAATTTGAACGTGTGTCACGTCAGTTTCATTATATCAAAATAGATGGCGTATTGAAATGAAAGTGGATGGGGATGTTGGCGGCACTGAGGCCACTTGCACTAGAATTATCTGAACGAGATGCGCGCCGATTTGATGGAAACTGAGGAAAATGCCTGTGTTGTTAAAGATTATAGAACATGTCAAAATATTACTTATAGGCAACTCTATATGCATATAAGAATAAGTAATATATAAGTTTCCAAATGTTAATTATAATATTTATCGTGAGACTCCTAATTTCTTATAGAATTAAAGTATTTCGAACGTTTACAAGAGAAATCATTGAAATTTGAACGTATGTCACGTCAGTTTCATTATATCAAAATAGATGGCGCATTGAAATGGAAGTGTTGGCGGCACTGAGGCCAATTCAAAGCTTGCACTAGAATTATCTTAACGAGATGCGCGCCGATTCGATGGAAACTGAGGGAAATGCCTGCGTTCTTAAAGATTATATAACATGTCAAAATATTACTTATAGGCAGCTCTATATGCATATAAGAATAAATAATATATAAGTTTAAAAATGTCGTATATACTATTTATCGTCAGATTCCTAATTTCTTATAGAATTAGTGTATTTCGAACGTTTACAAAAGAAATCATTGAAATTTTAACGTGTGTCAGGTCAGTTCCATTATATCAAAATAGATGGCGTATTGAAATGGAAGTGGTTGGGGGTGTTGGCGGCACTCAGGCCAATTCAAATCTTGCACTAGAATTATCTTAACGAGATGCGCGCTGATTCGATGGAAACTAAGGGAAATGCTTGTGTTGTTAAATATTATATAACATGTCAAAATATTGCTTATAGGCTACTCTATATGTATATAAGAATAAGTAATATATAAGTTTCCAAATGTTAATTTATACTATTTATCGTTAGACTCCTAATTTCTTATACAATTAGAATACTTCGAACGTTTCCAAGAGAAATCGCTTTATGCTGTCATTGAAATTTGAACGTATGTCACGTCAGTTCCATTATATAAAAATAGATGGCGTATTGAAATGGAAGTGGTTGGGGGAACTGAAGCCAATTCAAAGCTTGCACTAGAATTATCTTAACGAGATGCGCGCCGATTCGATGGAAACTGAGGGAAATGCCTGCGTTGTTAAAGATTACCGCCAAGTTCGACGTCGAAATCTGCGGCGACATTGTTTCCGTTTTCCCTTCGGCGAGACGCCTCGGCGTACACCTTCCTCTCTCCACGCCACACCATTGTTTGCAGCCGAGCGAAATGTAATAACTTTCCAAACAATGCCCTTCTGATTGAATTGAATTTGCATGGCAGGAAGTCGGATGGCGTTCGCCAATACACGTAGCAACACGGCCTTTCTACAATCTGTCTGTCTCTCTCTCTCTCACTATATATATTTGTGTGTATCTTGCATAAACATAAAGCTGCCATATCGCGCCTTTTCACGGTACGTCACCCACGGCTGTCATGATCATCACAGCTATCATGATCATCATGACTGCTGTAGTCATCATCGGCGTCATCTATCGCTCAGCTTCCGAACGTTGGACCCGGCTTTCTTCCTCTCCGGCACACAATTAACGCAATTAATTTCCGATTTAATTAAAAACACACTGGAACAGATTGCATCTGATTATTATTACGCGACTACTGGATTCGGTTCGCGAGCCGCACGCTACAACAAACAACTATAATCCACGACCGCTACATCCAGTTTTAATTAATAATTTACTGCTGGGACTCGTGCAAAACACACAGATTTACACCGAAAACGAGCCAAATTTGCAAATTGCAATAGTTTTTTTCAAACAACTCCTCCCCAAACATCATGTAATTTCAACTGAATTGACCATTTCAATTAGTCACCATCAATTAAGTTATAATTTTACATAATTACTTAAATATTATATTATAATAATTATACAAAATCAAGAAAATTGTATAATTTATGAGATTTTGCAATTTTTCTTTAACATTTGCGTCAAATTAGTTTGAATAATTGACGGTAGATGTTGCGTCTTTTAATAATTACGTAATTGAAATGAAATTCAACTTATTAGTATATAGTAAGCATATTTGGATATGATGAACAAAAAAAAGTAAAGAGAGAAGTTAAATCTCGTAAATTCGAATGTTTTTAAAAACGGGCCCGGTTTTTGTGATAATAAACAAGTGGCCTCTGGGGGACTTGCGTCAATTGTTTTAATTCGGTAGTGATACGATAAATCAGTGGATTTGTTGTTTCTAAGAGGACGTAAAGCTTTCCGTGCGCCCATAAAGCAAGCAACACAACAACGGGCCAAGACCGAAGGATAAAAGAAAAAGGCAGCTTCGCGGTGTCTGTTTTATTTACCGAATGATGAATTGAGACCCCCTCAGAAAAATACACAGCACTATTTATACACATTACACACGAAAATTGACACATCCAGTGCACACCACGATGATGACGAATTTATGTCTCTTCTCCTCTTACACCCGCACTTCCATTGGAACCCTAACGGAAATTTACTTCATTATTATTTTCTACACGTCGAAATAAATATTTCATAACGTACAATTTGTAAAACATTTGATTACCTGTTGAACCTGACTATAAATGTCAATGGAAGAAATTGATCTTACGTTTCTAAACGTCAATTCGTTATGAGTTATTTCAATTTTCTGACATCTGTCATATAGTTATTCCATTTGAATATGTCACATTATTATTCATTTTTTGACAGCTGTACAGTTGTTTATGATTGATAACCTTTTTTTGTCAATTTTAATTTGACATTTGTACTTTTTTTTTATATATATATAATTAAAAACACTTATATTATTATAAAATAACGGTAAGTGTTATACATTTCATCAACCGAAATCAACGCTTCTTAAGAGCTCCTTCATCTTCAGTTCAAAGACTTCTTGCGCAAGTGGACAAGTGGTAAAAACACCGTCAATTCGTTATGAGTTATTTCAATTTTCTGACATCTGTCATATAGTTATTCCATTTGAATATGTCACATTATTATTCATTTTTTGACAGCTGTACTGTTGTTTATGATTGATAACCTTTTTGTGTCACTTTTTAAATTTGACATTTGTACTTTTTTTATATATATAATTAAAAACACTTATCGTTATATAAAATAACGGTAAGTGTCATACATTTCATCAACCGAAATCGACGCTTCTTAAGAGCTCCTTCATCTTCAGTTCAAAGACTTCTTGCGTAAGTGAACAAGTGGTAAAAACGCCGTCTTCCTGGACTTCAAAGTCTAGACCAAATGCTTGATGTATAAATTGATTAGCAGCACCATCTATCCACCACCAACTCCAACTATAGAAACGTCAATTCGTTATGCATTATTTGAATTTTTTGACATCTGTCATATTGTTAATACCATTTGAATATGTCACATTATTATTAATTTTTTGACAGCTGTACTTTTTTTTTACGATTGATAACTTTTGTAGAAATATTTCATATATGAAAATTGTCAGTTTTTTTAATTTGACAATTGTACTTTTTTTATTTAATTAAAAACACTTACCGTTATATAAAATAACGGTAAGTGTCATACATTTCATCAACCGAAATCGACGCTTCTTAAGATGTCCTTCATCTTCAGTTCAAAGACTTCTTGCGTAAGTGGACAAGTGGTAAAAACACCATTTTCCTGGACCTTAAAGTCAAGATCAAATGCTTGATGTCTAAATTCATTAGCAGCACCATCTATCCGACACCAACTCCAACTATATAAACGTCAATTCGTTATGCAATATTTCAATTTTTTGACATCTGTCATATCGTTATTACCCTTTGAATATGTCACATTATTATTCATTTTTTGACAGCTGTACTGTTCTTTACGATTGATAACTTTTTTTTTGTAGAAATATTTCATATATGAAAATTGTCACTTTTTTAATTTGACATTTGTACTTCTTTTTTGTATATAATTAAAAACACTTATCGTTATATAAAATAACGGTAATTGTTATACATTTCATCAACCGAAATCGACGCTTCTTAAGAGCTCCTTCATCTTCAGTTCAAAGACTTCTTGCGTAAGTGGACAAGTGGTAAAAACACCGTCTTCCTTGACCTCAAAGTCTAGACCAAATGCTTGATGCCTAAATTGATTTGCAGCACCATCTATCCACCACCAACTCCAACTATATAAACGTCAATTCGTTATGCATTATTTGAATTTTTTGACATCTGTCATATCGTTAATACCATTTGAATATGTCACATTATTGTTAATTTTTTGACAGCTGTACTGTTCTTTACGATTGATAACTTTTTTTTTGTAGAAATAATTCATATATGAAAATTGTCACTTTTTTAATTTTACATTTATACTTTTTTATATATATATAATTAAAAACACTTACCGTTATATAAAATAACGCTAAGTGTTACACATTTCATCAACCGAAATCAACGCTTCTTAAGAGCTTCTTCATCTTCAGTTCAAAGACTTCTTGCGCAAGTGGACAAGTGGTAAAAACGCCTTCTTCCTGGACCTCAAAGTCAAGATCAAATGCTTGATGTCTAAATTGATTAGCAGCACCATCTATCCACCACCAACTACAACTATATAAACGTCAATTCGTTATGCATTATTTGAATTTTTTGACATCTGTCATATCTTTATTACCATTTGAATATGTCACATTATTATTCATTTTTTTACAGCTGTATTGTTTTTGTAGAAATATTTCATATATGAAAATTGTCACTTTTTTAATTTGACATTTATACCTTTTTTATATATATAATTAAAACCACTTACCGTTATATAAAATACAGGTAAGTGTTACACATTTCATCAACCGAAATCAACGCTTCTTAAGAGCTCCTTCATCTTCAGTTCAAAGACTTCTTGCGCAAGTGGACAAGTGGTAAAAACGCCGTCTTCCTGGACTTCAAAGTCTAGACCAAATGCTTGATGTCTAAGTTGATTAGCAGCACCATCTATCCACCACCAACTACAACTATATAAACGTCAATTCGTTATGCAATATTTCAATTATTTGACATCTGTCATATCGTTATTACCCTTTGAATATGTCACATTATTATTAATATTTTGACAGCTGTACTGTTTTTTACCATTGATAACTTTTTTTTTTGTAAAAATATTTCATATATGAAAATTGTCACTTTTTTAATTTGACATTTATACTATTTTATATATATATAAATAAAAACACTTACCGTTATATAAAATAACGATAAGTGTCATACATTTCATCAACCGAAATCGACGCTTCTTAAGAGCTCCTTCATCTTCAGTTCAAAGACTTCTTGCACAAGTGGACAAGTGGTAAAAACGCCGTCTTCCTGGACCTCAAAGTCAAGATCAAATGCTTGATGTCTAAATTGATTAGCAGCACCATCTATCCACTACCAACTACAACTATATAAACGTCAATTCGTTATGCATTATTTCAATTTTTTGACATCTGTCATATCGTTAATACCATTTGAATATGTCACATTATTGTTAATTTTTTGACAGCTGTACTGTTCTTTACGATTGATAACTTTTTTTTTTGTAGAAATAATTCATATATGAAAATTGTCACTTTTTTATTTTGACATTTGTACTTCTTTTTTATATATAATTAAAAACACTTATCGTTATATAAAATAACGGTAAGTGTTACACATTTCATCAACCAAAATCGACGCTTCTTAAGAGCTCCTTCATCTTCAGTTCAAAGGCTTCAGTTCAAGTGGACAAGTGGTAAAAACGCCGTTTTCCTGGACTTCAAAGTCAAGACCAAATGCTTGATGCCTAAATTGATTAGCAGCACCATCTATCCACCACCAACTCCAACTAAATTGTGTTTCCAGGGTAACTACAAGAACAAAATCTAGTACGTATCTCTAAATCATCTGGACTTGTCGATTATTAAAATTGAAAATTTTATCAATTGAAATAAATATTTCTTTGCGCAATAGCAGAGCGACTTTAAATATTCAGTTAATATCTGTTTACTTAACGGACGGATTCAAATATGAATTCGTATGAATGTTTAATGTTAAGCCCGCACCATTAAATATTTAAATACCCATTTCCATTCCATTCTTTCTCCTCGAACCCGTCCAAACAATAAAATTTTATTTCCACTTCTTGCATCCCTTTATGTGCAATGTTCGAATAGAAAATTATTTTCACCTAAAAAAATTTAAATATTCAAAATCATCAATTTTATAAAACGAATTTAGTTCTAGTCTTCTCACTTATTATACACTAACGAATTAATATTAATATAAATTAATATAACCTAAAAATAATATAAAATTGTTTCATTATTTCTCCAGTAGTTCAAGCGAATCAAAAATGAATTAAATGAGTTAAATTATGAATGAGTCATCAAGTGCACATCACGAATTTTTGTAATTACTTTATTTTTCTACATACTAATTAATTTGAATGTACACAAAAACGCAATGGTTGAATGTATTTTTTTTTGTATATTTACATGATTCCATTTGAAAGAGGTACACGTTATCCAATGCCATCTTAATTAATCGAAATTCACTATAAATTCCACCGATTTCTATTCAAATCCTGTACTTCTGTACTGACACTAATCAGATATGTTGATTCTCGTTACTCTACTTGCCTTTCTTGGCGAAATTCAATATGCACATTTAGCCGGAAAACAGGTATACAGTTTCTAATATTTTTTGCAAATACTTGTAACTAATTTGAATCATAGACAGTATTGGTAATGAAGTTTAGTTGACGTTTTAATCTGTCAAATTGTAATGGCAATTACCAACTTAAATCTTATGTCAGTTTTGACGTTTGTTGTTTCATCTGTTGACATGGAATCAGCTGACGTGATTTGTAGATGGCGTGACTATTTTTTTTATATAATTGATTGTAGATTGGTCCAATTGGAACGTTGGACATCCTGAGGGTGGATGCTTGCGAGGCGAAGAACAATCTGAAGCAGAAGGTCCAGCTGAAGTTCACATTCAATACGAAAACAAAGGTTGTCAATGGCAACATCAACATACCATTCAACTTTGACGAGAGCATCACAGTAAGCGAGAATACTTATAACATTATATAACGAAAAAGAAAAACAAACAATTTGCGTTTCAGTTCAAAGGAGCTCTGCATAAGTGGACGGGTAGCGAATGGAAGAAGAACATGATGAAATGGGACGGAAAGGCGTGCGACTACCTCAACAATTACCTCCCAAAGATCTTCGCAGATTTCCAGAGCAGCCTCGATCCGAAAGTGAAGACCAAATGCACGATCCAAAAAGTGAGCACACATCAGCGCCATCTATCCGACGGATACGAATTACTTTATTGATAAATTTCAGGGTAACTACAAGATCAACAACTTGATTGTTCCTCTGAAGCATCTGGAATTGCCGATGATCGTGTACGGGAAATTGAAGGCGGAATTCAAGGCTTTCAAAGGAAAAGAGACCGTTCTCTGTATAGAAGCAGAGGCCGATTCGAAGAGCGCGTTGTTGGCTCACTGATTTACATGAATACACGACGATATAGTGCTCAATAAAGTTACGAAATGCAATTGGAATTAAACATTCAAATTTCCCGCTTTTTCAATTTCTATACCTATATTTTTTTGTTGTTGTCTCGTTCGCTTCTTTCATCTCGTTTTTTTGTTTTCTCTCTCTCTCTATAGAAAATGATTATAGTCTCTTTCATATGAGAGCTGCGAATGTGCAATGTGACCCGTGCTTAAAGCCCTTTTTTTTTTCCTCTCTTATATTCACATACGCGCATACTTCTGGCAGGTCTCCAAATAATTGGATGCGCGCATGGATGGAAATGTGGTCGTCGCCTTTTAATCCCTTTGCGCATCGATTTCCATTAATTACTTTTTCTACGCGGAACAATGATGATCATTTTTCAAATGAAAAATTAATGAACACAACAAAACAAACAAAACAAAAATCATTAAAACAACATGAAAATCGTACGGATCCATCAATCTGAGCTGTCAATATCAGCTGTTTAAAATTAATATATTTAAACTGTCATCTGTTGATGACAAATCAATTTAATTGAAAAACTACCAAGAGCAAAGAAAAATATTTACTAATTACAAACAAATCATAATAGGAAATTAATATTTTTCACCTCTTTAATTTATCTTGAAAGCTGTTTGTTTGTAATTAACAAAAATTGATAGTATTTAAACTGTCAACTTTTAATGACACTTCAATTTAATTGAAAGATTACCAACAGTTAAAAAAAATATTTATTAGTTACAATAAGAAAAAAAGTAAACAAATGATTATATTTTATAGACAGATAAATCTTAGATTTATCATCAAAAACTGTAATTTCAATTCTATTTAAATCCTAAACGAACGTTACGTAACTTTTGTTACATAAAAAGTTGCGCAACGCTTGCGTGCATCTGATTATGCAATAAAACCATAAAAATTTTTATTACTTTTCGAGTTATTAACGAAAAACTGAAATTCACTTTTTTTACAATTTCTACAGCCCATAGCAGGCGACTCGATGACAACACAAAGATGTATGTAGTCGCGTTGGAAAGGTGAGATATTCAGCTTTCATACGAGTGGTCGATGATGTAATTATCTTAAGGGGTTGTCGAGAAATTCACGAAAAACTGAAAAAAAAATTGAAAAAACGTCGTTTCTCCGTTACGTAACAAACATTACGTAACTTTTGTTACATAAAAAGTTGCGCAATGCTTGCGTGCATATGATTATGCAATAAAAACATAAAAAAGTTTATTGCTTTTCGAGTTATTAACGAAAATCCTTTTTTTGACAAATCCAATACACTTTTTTTTTTTCTAATTTCTACAGCTCATACCAAGTGACTCACCGATAGTACGAAGATGCCAATAGGCTTGTTGGAGAGGTGCGACATTCAGCTTTCATACGAGTTGTCGATGATGTAATTATCTTAAGGGGTTGTCGAGAAATTCGCGAAAAACTGAAGAAAAATGGAAAAAAACGTCGTTTCTCTGTTACGTAAAGAACATTACGTAACTTTTGTTACATAAAAAGTTGCGCAACACTTTCGTGCATCTAATTATGCAATAAAACCATAAAAAAGTTTATACTTTTCGAGTTATTAACGAAAATCCATTTTTTTGGCAATTCCCATACACTTTTTTTTACTAATTTCTACAGTTCATAGCAAGTGACTCACCGAGAGTACGAAGATGTGTGTAGGCTCATTGGAAAGGTGAGACATTCAGCTTTCATTGGAGTGGTTGATGATGTAATTATCTTTAGGGGTTGGCGAGAAATTCACGAAAAACTAGAAAGACTGAAAAAGAAACGTCGTGTCTCTGTTACGTAACGAACATAACGTAACTTTTGTTACATAAAAAGTTGCGCAATGCTTGCGTGCATCTACAAACAAATGATTATATTTTATTGACAGATAAATCTAAGATTTGATTTATCATCAAAAACTGTAATTTCAATTCTATTTAAATCCAAGATTGCAGTAAATTTTATTACAATCCTAAAATTCATAATTGGTAAACCTGTATTTTATTAACTAAATGCTATTGTTTATGATATTGTAGGTTAGGTAATATGTGGGGAGGATCAGGCATTAGGAAGTGCTCTCGCAGTCTCAACGAGTAATAGTTTTGAATTTGTTTTTAATAAGTTTGAAATACTTTTAAATCTTAAATTTATCATCAAAAACTATAATTTCAATTGTATTTAAATCCAAAATTGCATTGAATTTTATTACAATCCTAAAATTTACAATTGGTACACCTGTATTTTATTAATTTCGAACTTTCTACAGTCATTTCTGCACACTGACGTTTTGGGACAAGTTTGTGAAATTAGTTAATGCATTAACTAAATGTCATTGTTTATGATATTGTAGGTTAGATAATATGTGGGGAGGATCAGGCATTAGGAAGTGCTCTCCAGTCTCAGCGTAAATAACGAACAATAGTTTTGAATTTGTTTTTAATAAGTTTGAAATACTTTTAAATCTTAGATTTATCATCAAAAAACTGTAATTTCAACTGTATTTAAATCCAAAATTGCATTGAATTTTATTACATTTCTAAAATTCACAATTGGTACACCTGTATTTTATTAATTTCGAACTTTCTACAGTCATTTTTACACACTGAAGTTTTGGGACAAGTTTGTGAAGTTAGTTAGTGCATTAAGTAAATGCTATTGTTTATGACATTATTGGTTAGGGAATATGGGGGGATCAGCTCTAAAAATCACTAAAAAAAATCTTCTTCTCTCTAAAGAAATAGGCAAGAAGTTAATACCAACTGAAAATAAAAGGACTGCCCTATCCTGTGCAGGTATTAGGAAGTGTTCTCGCAGTCTCAACGTAAATAACGAGCAATAGTTTTGAATTTGTTTTTTAATAAGTGCGGATGCGGTGAGATGAGATGAGAGGTGTTTTCCAGTTGGACTGCGTAAGGGTATTTTTTATATTTTTAATGAGATTCTAAATGATTGCAGTCCGGACCGAAATTGCATTCTTTGCTCTCTCTCTCTCTCTCTATCTCATTGAAAATCCTAATATTCCCTCTATCTTTGTTTCGCTCGCACTTTATCATGATTATTATTATTGCTATCGCCGTGTCCGCAGCTTTTCGTGCAGAATTTTCGCAGCGGGGAAGCTTTGAAGGCGCTGTACATGAGAGGTGTCACAACCCCAAAGCTCAGATCGATATATGTAGTTGAGGGTGAGCGCGAGAGGGAAAGGGAGCGTTTTCCCAACTGGAATTTACACACATACACACTCCCTTTTGCTCTCTTTCTCTCTCTCAGTCTCATTGGGAATGTGAAAAAAGTTGACATTCGCAAAAACTGAAACAAAATTTAAATAAAAAAAAAACAAAGCTACGATGATATGTGTATGAAAATTTTCGCCTATGTCAAATTAGCGTGGAAAATTGCGTTTAGGCATTAAAAGTTTCGCCCCCCCCCCGCTAATTATCAGCCAGCCGCACACTCGCACACTTATTCATACATGTTAATACGTAGTCTACATAGTCACACTCATACACAGAGGGCGAAGACTGGAGACGGCCGAAATGGCAATTACGTAACATCGTCGCAGCAGCAGCAGCAACCGCCTCTCTCCTCTCAAACTCTCTTCTCTTCACCTAGCAACCAACGCTGCTGCTGCCGCCGCCGCCCGTCCACCCAGTGTATATCAAAGTGGGTAATTTAAAGCCGAAGTCTGCGGGAATTCAGTTTCGCAAATTAGCGCCGTAAATTGCAACAACTTCAAATGAACATTTTCCGCGCTCCGGTGTTTTATTTCTGTTTACTTTTTTTCACCCACCCCCTGTGTGTATGTGTACACACATACAAACTCGCACGCATCACCTGGGTAAAAAGAAGAAGTAAGGGGAAAAAAAATTGCACGGACTGAGGGAAAAATCGCGAGAGGCAGGTTAATTACGTTTTATTCGTAATTAACTTCAGCTCTCGCCTCTCGCGCGCTCTTTTTTTCTTTTTTTTTTCCTCCTCATTTTGTGTGCACTTCTTCTTCCGGTCTGTTCTCGCGGAATTATGAATTAACCCCCACACCTCCCTCCCTCCTCCTACAGAATTCAATCTAATTAAATTAATTACGCAAGCCGCGAAAGGCGCTGAGCAGAGATTCGAACAAGAATATATATAGAAAAATGATGAAGATTGAATGACGAGCGAATATCGTTTTCCAACTGGATTTCCCTTTAAATTGCTGATAATAGATGTCATTCTTAAAATGTAACTTTCATGTGCATCTTTTAGATCCATTCTATCTATTATAGTTTGTGATAAAATCATTGCGTTATTGTTTTTTGTAATTTCGGTTTTGAACTCGATTTATAGCCAAACGTCTGAAATCACAGAAATAATAGGATACTTGCTATAATCCCCAAATATCCAACTTTCATATGTATTTTGTGGATCTGTTATATCTATTATAGTTTATGAGAAAATCATTGCGTTATTGTTTTATGTAATTTCGTTTTTAAACTCGATTTATAACCAAACGGCTGAAATCACAGAAATAATAGGAGCCAAACGGTTGAAATCACAGAATATAATGAATACTTGCTACATTCCCAAATATCCAACTTTCATATGCATCTT